TACATCTGAATCTCTAATATCTATACTTGTTAATATAGTCTATTTTCTAGAGCAGATGACCCTATGCTACAATTTGGCTTTTACAAATCCATGTGTCTCTCTACATTCTCTTTATGTATCAATTTTCTAAATCATGCATTTTCTTAGAGAACAATGAAGACAAGTTTTAGTAAAATCAGGATCAATTAGGACATGAAGTCCAAAAGAACTATGACACTTGACAAAAGGCCCTCATAATCCAAAGGAAAAAAGAGAAAAAAATCATAGCTTACAAACAATATGAAAGTTCTTTATATGCATATAAAGAAATTCATAGAACTTGGATTGGGGTGTGGCTTACGTGGTAGAGTGCCTGTCTAGCAAGTGTGAAGACCTGAGTTCAAACCCCAGTACTGGTAGAAGAAAAAAAAATTCACAGAACTTGAAGTATTTACATGCAGAAAGGTGAATGTTTTCATTTACTTATTTCAACAGGTTATATATGTGCCGAAAACTTCTGAAAAAGAAAGATCCGTGAAAGCACTGTACCTTACCCTTGTTCCCTTTGGCATTGCTGTTTCATCAACCAGCAGGCAAAGAATATTACAAGCACCAAGAGGACTGAGATGGACTATAACACAAAAAATAAGCTGTCAGTTCTCATTTACAAAGGTTTTTTTTTTTTTTTAACCAATACACAAATACGAAGTCTAGGAAATCAAGTGCATGTTTCAGAATAGAGGAAAAGTAGCCAAGACCAAAATTCTACATTTAAAACTAAGGATACTATATATAAAAAAACTCTAGAATAAATTCTAAAAGATTCTGTGAATTATTATAATTTCAAAGCTTATATTAAAAGATAATAATATTGATCCATTTGCAAAGTAGTCTCACCAACTGAAAACACACAACTCCACAAAGTTCAAATGTGGTAAAATATTACCAGAACAAATTAATTTCATAGTGTAATTTTTATAGTTTCTGCAGAGTCTGAAGTAGAATATCTATAACACTTTGTATTTTCTTAATTTTCAATGAAACAAAAGCCTAAATTTCTTGCTTCTTGAGGAAACACATGATCTTGAAGACTTTCCCTAATTGAAATTATTTTCCATTTTTGCTTTACTGGATTTTTACGGATAAAGGTATAGATAGGTGTATTTTAATCCTGCTGATAGAAAACAAGTTCACTAGAAACCACTTGGCTGAGGAAGCTGCCAACTCAAATGCTAAAGTAAACAACAGATAGCTACTTCTGTTTAAGTAGGCAAGTAAATTCTTACAGTCTCAATAAGAAGTAGAACCATAACAGCAGGATACACCAGATTTCTCTCCCATGCTGAAGCCTTTTTACGCCTTTCTGTTAGAAGGAAAAATAAAATAAAACAAAAATTTCACCAATTTCCAAAAATTCACTCTAGATTTATATATTCATCCCATCATGTTATAAACAGTCCACATAATTTTCGCTTTTGAAAAATTATTTTTAGTTTTCCTCCACAAACTATAAAAATCATAATTTAAAATCAGTTTGCTACATAAAATAGCTCAATCCTGTGAGGAATTTCAACTCTGAAAAGACAAGTCCAATTTTAAGGAAATATATTGTTTA